TACTGGGGAATCGATTAAAACGCTTCAAAAAAATTCATAAAGCGTTTAATGTTTCGCAAAACTATTCATCACATTTGCTGTCAATCTCGGTCAGAATGCTTTTAACATAAGTCAGGATAACTTACGCGAACTTACAGAACACAACTTATCCGGGTTTATTTTTATAAGAACATTTTTTTAAGAATTATATTATAATATAAAATTTTATAGTACCTTTTTATTTCGCTAAAACAATATTTTGAAAAAAAAATTTAAATTTTCTACACCTCTATTTTTGACAAGCGATCGGATCTTGAAGAGAGGGGAAGCGTAATCTCAGTCAGAATATGACTAATATGACTGTCTAATATGCTTAAACTATTTTTTTACGTCAGATACTTCTATCACACAAAGCAGAAAAAACTGCTCTAATTTGGAGAAAAAATCTAAACCGTAGTTTTCTAAAAACTAGTCGGAACATTCTGTGCTACTTGCACAGTAACCGACTATCCTTGCTATTATTTTATCATAATTTGAAAAATCGGAACTGGCACAATGAATGGTAAAAACTTTTCACAAAAAGACTCTGCTCTTCAGGAAGGTTCTTAACAGAATTTGAGTTCTAGTCTACTGGGGAATCGATTAAAACGCTTCAAAAACAATTCATAAAGTGTTTAATGTTTTTTTATAAAACTATTCATCACTTTTGCTGTCAATCTTGGTCAAAATATTTTCAACATAAATAAGGATAATTTAAGAGAACTTACAGACCACAAATTATCCGGGTTTGAATTTATAAGAAAACTTTTTTAAGAGTTATTTAATAATATAAAATTATTATCGTACCTTTTTATGATTTCACTAAAACATTATTTTAAAAAAAACTATAAATTGTTTACACCTCTGTTTTTGACAGGGGATCGGATCCTTGAAGAGAGGGAAAGCGTAATAATCGCCCCCCCCCCCTTAATCAGCCCCTTGTCAAATTGGTCCATGCATAACGGCCGCGAACGGATCATTCACCTCAAATTCAAAAAGTTGTATATTATCATTCGTCCATACTATTGGAATCGTATGACTATAGCAATGTTCTACAGATTATAAAAAGAAATTTTTTTAACCATCACTTAAACATTCCGGTTAATTTTGTTCAATATATGGATTGGTATGGCCTTCAATTTCGATAAAACTTCAACAAAGGTTCCGAAAACCAATATTTTTCAGCTTACTAACAGCATCTGTCTTACTTTGCTGTCAATTAGCGGTGATCAAATTGTAGAAGTTTCCACTTTTTCACTTTTTAATATGGGCATAACTTCAGATAATCGGCTTTTATTTGTTTATCTGATGAATTTCTTTTGCATTTAATTCTATGGAGCGGATATTAGCTCAGAAAGACTCCCAACCTGTCAGAACGGAAGACTATTAGCCCAAAGAATAGCGTAGAAAGTTCATTCTTTTTCCATCTGATAAGAGTCGCCAATTGTTTTGCAACATAAAATAACCCAAGTAACCATCATTAAACACAGTATTCATTTAAAACACAACTCTCATTTGTCAATATCTCTTTTTATAAAAGCTTTCATTGTGGGAAAAACTCATTCATTGACAGTTGATGTTATTATTTTCAATCTATTAGCATCCGAAAAAGTTTTGTTATAGCTAGATTTTGATGTTGTAACTTTTTCCACCATACGGCGTGTGTCATTTGCACAGCGGTTTTTTTTTCAATTCAATGATTTATGTATAGCGCCATAATCTGTTTATGCATCGATAAATTAAACTTTATTGACAACTTTTTCTTGTTATCTTTTCGATAAATTTTTGCTTTTCCAGCAATGAAAAGTAGACCAGTCGAGAAAATATTTTTAGTTTTATCCATGTGTTTACTTTTATACTCGATTATTCGATTTACATGGAAACCCGAATTAATTCTTTCGAGGGCAGTTTCAGGAAGTCTCTTAGAAAATTCTGAAAAATCACTATGTGGTAAATTGGAAAACACTTCCTTGGATGGTGAAACTATTCTACTAATTCGATTTTTGGGTGCTAATTTATTTTCAATGCAAAGCCCACAGCAAATAAATTTAAATTTAGCTGATATTTTGAATAACGAAATTTCACTTTCAGAGTCCTCAGACTGTGTCAAAAAACTATGGATTATTGGGTGTAGTTGTAACGCTACTGAAATAAGCAACTTAGAAAATTTATTGATTAGTTATGATCAGTTGTTTTATAATGTTCCTGGCTGTGCTGAGAATAATTCTACTGACCAGTTTTCAAAATACATGTATCAAATTAATACTGCAGGAAACTTTGGTATTCAGAAAGCGATGAGCATCAAACCTACACCAGCGTGGGTTTTTCCTTTAGATGGTGACTTATTTTTTTCAAGAGACTCAACCTCAAGATTAATAAATTCATTGATAACTGCAACTTCAAGAGGTGAACAATATTTTTATATTCCACGTTATCGTTTGCTAAGATGTCAAAAAACGATTATCTCTGATGCATTCGATTATCGAAACGAATCTGAGACATTTAAACTTACAAATATTACTGGACTACCAACACTAAGCGATCATTTGTCAGACCAAAGTGAAAACCAAATAGGTTTTTCGGCCAAAGTTGAGAATATTCTGGAACTTCTCAATACAAATTGGACGTACAACAAAACGTTTTTATTGGACCGACTGAAAAACGACAGCCTGACTTGTGGGAATAAGGTAAATTGAGCCAATGAATTTGTAGAACTCGGATCATAAGCTTTCCTACAGACAAAAATGGAGAACAAACTGTTGTCATTTTCTCGAGACATTTAATCTTTGGCGTAAACCAAAAAACACAAAATTCGATTATTCATACATTCCAATTATCGACGCATTCTTCCACCCATAGATTAAAAATGAGAAGTCAATTTTGATTTTTGTTGACATTCTGATCCGATTTTTGCAAATTCATCAAAAACCAAAATGATACAATTTTTTGGGGTTGTAACGATAGGGTTAGAAAAAAACACTGGAGAATAGTTTTTCGCGCCTAAATTAATCACTATAAAACTAAGTTGTGATAAGGTCACAAGCTATGACTATTCAGCAAAAACAGATTACTTGCAACTTTTTTGGTTATTTTTCTGGGCTGGGTAATGTTGCTTCATCCTCAAGCAACGAGCACGGATCATGGTGGGCCTCCAACATCCGACCTTTCGATTGAGAGGCGAAGATGTAACCACTTCACCACCGCTCCCCAAATTCTAATGAATTCTCGAGAACAAACGGCGTTGGCAATTAACGAACGATTGGTCCGCTTCGCTAGCCTGCGCTTACATTCGGCATAAAAGAAATAGTGCGCCAGAATCGTCGTTTCTCCCTGATCTACAGTGACGGAACAATTAGGTTGCACTTCTTAGTTTTTGAGCGATGAAATGAACAAACTTGTTTTTACGTTTCTGCCATTTTCGCTACAACTACTGGAGATTTTCGTTTGAAAGTTTGACACAAGATGGATGAAGCTGTTTAATCGAACATAACCGGATAAAAACCGTGAAGTTCAAGTTCTCAAGACGTCGTTTGGACGTTCAATTTAAGTGAACCATGAATTGTACGTAATGTTAACACTTTCAGTGAACAGTAAAAGCAATTGGAATCTTTGGTCATAAAATTGTTCGTTGGATCGCTTAGTTTGTAAGTTAGGCCCTCGTATTAGTCTTCTAATCACATTGATAGAATTGAATTTTTTTAATCTCTAAGACAAGTTTTTATTTAGCAATTAATTTAGAATTCCAAACTCTGAGTTAAATATTATTCCGTAGCTTAAGGATTTGTTGCATAATTTTTCAAGAAAAGAGAAACTTAGATGAGTGCCTAGCTTAGATTCTTAGCTTTCCAATTGAAACATTTGAGTCCAAACTTAGAAATTTAATCGCTTCTGCTGTCACAGAAGATTTTGACACGAATTATACTTCCCTAACGACTTCCAATTGAATGGCCAAACGATGCCATGAAAACAATTTTGTACGGTATTTTATCAGTTTGTATTCGAAGAAAGAATTTCAATCATCATATGACAAAACTTCCTCTGTGAATTGTTATATAATTGTTAAGAAAACGGCAGTAACTTGAAAATTTGAAAATATTTTTTATTCATTTCATCAGTTGAAAACTAAAACTTGGAACTTCTTCTTGGAAAATAATTTTGTGTCCGAAATATCTCCGTCGTTAAATGTTTGAAGTTTTATGAAATTATTCGATGTCTTTTTTCGTCTGTAGCGTAAAACAACTTTAAATTAAATCATCTGGAAAAAATTTTTTCGATGAACTTATTTCAAAACTTTGGGAAAAGAAGGAGTTTTTGGGTTTTTTGACTGTATTTAGCGACCGATGAGAGCAAAACGTCAAAGATAAATCATTTACGGAAATCCACTTTCTCCGCTTGCTCAGATGTAGCCCTGACCCGGGTCTCATGCAAGTAAATAGTATCTATTGCAGGGGCGGATCTAGAATTTTCTTTAAGATGTGGTTCTTAAAAAATTAAAGTTTTGTTTCTTTTTGACCGATCAAATTGATTTTCCGAGCTCTCCGAAATCACAATAAAAACCCTATTTTGACAAAATTTACTTCAACGCAGGCAAACTTTTGAAAGAACAGATAAAAAAAGTTGTTTTTAAGCAGTTTTTGAAGGTTCTGATCAAAAAATCCCCTAAAGATTTTTAGAAGCGGGCGATTCCTCCAAACCATTAGTATATGTTGGCGCCTTGGGAAAGTTTTTAAGATCGGTCGACAAAAAATTGGGATTTTTTTCCTTTTCCGTCCAACTG